GGCCGCAAGGAGGGGCCGCCCGGCCACCTGCTGCAGCCTGGGTGCACCTGACACATGATGCCCAGGGAGAGAAGCCCGACACGAAAGGCCCCGGAGAGAGGGGGTCCCACTGAGGAGTGGCCGGGCTCGAGGGGGCGGGGCTTCCCCTGGGCCGCGGAAACGTTCCAGGAGTAGGTGGAGGGGGAAGCCCCGCGGCACTGGGAACGCACTCAAGGCCAAATGAATTGGACACGTTCAGACAGTCCACTTGGACGTGTCCAGTATGAACTTTACCTGAATTTCTAAAAAGTCAAGTAGGTTCAAGATTTGCAAAATGCATAGAAATGGAGCAAACGTGGCTGTGAGCCCCCCACCCCCATAGGCCGCCGTGGACGAAACGGTGTTTATTCCCGACGGGATGTGGCCCACGGTTCCCGTCTCCCCTCTGAGCGGGGATCCCCCACACCTGGTGGCATTTGGGGGGAACCCCTGCTGCCCGCCTGGAGCTCCCTGCTCTGTTCTCAGCCCATGGAGGGGGACCCCGAAACTCACCTTCCCTTTTTAATCGTGTTCCTGCCCAGGAGCGGGTCCAGCACGGGGTCCACGGTCTCGCCGATGTTACACGCCCGGCCGTCCTTCCCCAGGGGTCTTAGGCTCCTGTCAGTCACCCCGGCGGGGGAGGGACGGAGCCGCTGACACTGTCGGCCATGGAGGCAAACGCTGCCCCACCTACCCTGCTCACCGCCCGGAGCCCCGAGTTTCCGTCTTTACTCCTGGGGCTGTGCCCAGGGCCAGATGTTAGAAAACCCACCCGAGGGCCAGTATTTGTGTTTGAAAGTCAGTCCGCAGGGTTAATGAGCACCAACGGCCTAAGGTGCATTTCCCAGCACAGCCGAGGTGTGGGCCCCCCATCCCTCACGTGGGTGCAGCGGGCACCCCTTCTGCCCCAGGCAGACACCCCCCCAGCAGCGGAAACCCCTTCTGCCCCAGGCAGACACCCCCCCAGCAGCGGGCACCCCTTCTGCCCCAGGCGGAACCCCTCCCCCCCAGCGGCGGGCACCTCTTCTGCCCCAGGCGGATGGCCTTCAGATCGCTGCCGAACTTGTTCCTGATCCACTTGATGCCCTGCAGCTGGGCGTCCACGATGAGCGGCCAGCGCTCCGTGTTGCACAGGATGGTGGCGTTCTCCGTGGACATGCGGTCGCTGGGGAGCCCCTGGTTGTTCCACGTGGCCACACCCGCGTCGTCGGTGAGCAGGCTCAAGGGGTCCAGACCCTCCGTGATGGGGATGGGGACCTGCCGGGAGGTGCAGCCTCAGTGCCTTTGGGAGGCGCCCGCTGTCCAGGTCCCAGGGCTTCTGCCGTCAGACGGCGGGTGCGGGTTTCCCGGGCCGCGGGCCTCGTACCTTTAACTTGTTGATGTAGGGGACCCAGAACTTGTCCATCAGCTCGTTCCGGTACTTCTTGGTGAAGTAGCCCACGTAGGAGACGAAGGCCGAGATGAGCAGCACGTCCCCGCACAGCGTGACCCCCTGGGACCTGAAGTTCTGCACCGACTCCGCCCAGCGGACGTTCTCGGACGCCAGGCCTCCCACCAGCCTGAGGGGACCCAGGTCCGCGGGG